CTGGCAAGATCTCGGGCAAGACCCCAGCGAGATCCCGGTGAAATCCTGATGAGACCCCAGAGAGACCCTGGCAAGACCCCCAGTGAGACTCCCGGAGTGACCCCGGTGAGACCCCCGGAGTGACCCCCAGAGTCACCCCCGGAGTGACCCCGATGAGACCCCCGGAGTGACTCCAGTGAGACCCCCAGAGTGACCCCAGTGAGACCCCCGGAGTGACCCCGGTGAGACCCCCAGAGTGACCCCTGGAGTGACCCTGGTGAGACCCCCAGAGTGACCCCCGGAGTGACCCCAGTGAGACCCCCAGAGTGACCCCGGTGAGACCCCCAGAGTGACCCCTGGAGTGACCCCAGTGAGACCCCCAGAGTGACCCCGGTGAGACCCCCAGAGTGACCCCCGGAGTGACCCCGTCCCCCCACGGCCGCCGGCGCTGCGGGGCCTGAGGCTCCGGGGCGTTAAGGCGAAGCGCTGTTGGAGGTAGAGCTGGGGGGCACAGCCAGGCCGGCCGGGGCGGGGGGCACGTTCCCAGCGCTGCCAGAGCCRCTGCCCACCCCGCTGCTGCCGCTGCTCCGGCCGCTGGTGCCTTTGCTGTAGGCGGAGGAGGATGAGGAGGAAGAGGAGGAGGAAGGGCCGGGCGTCTGGGCAAACAGCACACCTGGGGAGAGAGCAGGGGGCTGAGCCGGGGGTGCAATGGTCACACCAGGGAACGGGGTGAAGGGCAGTGGGAACATGGCCTGGGGCATCCCCCACCCCGTGGCAGAGGGGTCYGGGGGAGCCCCTCACCTGTGTAGACGATGCCGTTGATCTCCACGGACATGCTGATGCTGTTGGTGCCGTTGCTGCTGGCGGCGGCGGCGGCGTCTGCGCGGTTCTCTGCCGGGGAGAGCCGCGTTACGGAACCCACCGGGGCTGGGGGCTCGGCCGGGGCGGGCAACCGGGGCCGGGGCCGGCACTGACCTGGCGAGCGCGTGCCCTGGCTGTTGATGCGGATGCTCATGGGCAGCTGGGCCGTCATGGCCAGGAGGTTCTGCTGCAGCGCCCGCTGCATCAGCCGCTGCTGCTCGTCCGTCACCAGCGCCAGCTTCTTCTCCGGGGGCTCGCCCGACTCCAGCTTCTCCCGCAGCTGCTCCAGMGCCGCAGCCTGGGCGGCTGCTGCCACCTGCACCGCGGCCGCCTGAGCGGCCACCACGGGGTGCCCGGCCAGCGACACCGGGAGCCGGCTGGGCATGGAGATGGGGATGGGAGAGTCCTCCTCTGAAGGGGGAGTGAATGTCAGGGGTGGGAGCACAGGGGTAGGYGGGTGCCACCACCCCAGTGTGTCCCCAGCTGTGCCATGGGCTGCCGGCACCTCTAAATGTGATGGGTGAATGCAATCCCCAGTGTGAGCCCAAGGAGGGAGAGGAGCACCCGACCCCCCTTGCCCACTTCCCCCAGCTCTGCCCCTTATTCCCGGTGTTGGGAGYGGGCTCAGCTTGTAGCCAAACCCTGGAGCAGCCAGACCCCGCAGCAGCTTTTACCTTTCTTGATCTTCTGTCCCGGTGCGATGGCCCCGCCGTTGGTGGCAGATGCCAGCCCCAGCGCTGGCACTGGCAGCTTGGGCGAGGACAGGAGGCCGTGGGTGCCACCGGGCGAGTAGGCAAAGAGGGAGCCACCAAAGCCCTGCCGCCGGCCCTCCCGCCGGTTGCTGTCGATGGCCGCCTGCAGCTCGTTGGGGTTGCTCAGCCCACGCTTCTCACACTCGTAGGGGTACAGGTATTTCATGTACCTGCAGCCGGACGGGACGCGGGTGGGGATGGTGACGGTGACGCAGCGGTCCTGTGTGCCACCCCATCCTTCCATCCCTCCCCACTGATCCCACACAGGGCTGTGCTGAGTGCCCGTCCCCCGACCCCAAAGGGCTCACCCCCGACCCCAAAGGGCTCACCCCGCTGCCCTCCCCTCCCCTCCCCTCCCCTCCCAGCCCCCCGCTCACTGGGTGCGCAGGGTGAAGGCCGCGCTGGTGATGGAGGTGGGCAAGCTCAGCCCCTTGGTGATCTCCCGCCACAGCTTCTTGTTGATGACCTCCACCAGACCCCCCTTCTCGGTCACCAGCGTGTACAGCATGTACAGGTCCAGCACCTGCTTGGCCATGATGGGGATCCGGTTCACGGGGGTCCCTGGGGAGCAGCGGGAGGAGAGAGCGGCTCTGGGCTGCTGCTTTCTTACCCAAAGTTTGGGGTGCAGCTGCTGAGACCCCTACGGGGCAGTGGAAGGGCTGGGGGGGCTCCTGCTCCTCCCTCCCCTTCCACTTTTTCCCCCCAGGCCCTCCCGCWGAGATCAGCCCGGAACAAAGGAAACAGAAACTCGCAGTTTCCAGCCAGCCACAGCCCTGTCGTGGCCGAGCCGGTTCCTCGGGCTGAGCCGGCACCCGACAACTCGAGTTATTTATAACGGGGGCGGCTCTGAGGGTCTCCCGTGAGCCGAGGGGTTCGCCCCTACAGCGTGGGGAGGGGGCTGGCAGCACCTTCTCCCTCCTGGGGGTCTCTGCCTTCCCAGTCCTGGGGTGAGAGAGCTCTGGGGGATCCCAGGGGATACAGATGGGGTGACCCCAGGGTGGAGGGACGCAGGGGACACATCCAGGGGGACCCAGCCTGCAGCCCCAGCCCCCCCGCTCAGGCACACGTGCATTCCCAGTGCCGTCTGACAAAGAGCCGGAGCCAGCCCTGTGTCAGCACTTCCCGCGCTGTTTTCCACGCAGGAACCAGACCTTCCAGCAGGAGCTCGCTTGGATTTYGGCCCTTCCCACCCCCGGTCCCCCCACTGTGGCCTCTGCCCMGGCAGAGTGAGGGGCAGCGAGGGGCTTTGCCCCCTGCAATAACCCAGGGGATGGGCAGAGAGGGGGCACAGCCAGGGGTTTTGCATGGGGTGGGGGACCCTGTGGGGAGGGGCTGCAGGTTTGGGTGCGATGGGTGTGGGGAAGGGGGTGAKGGGGGGCTGCAGTGGCTGGATCCAGCCCAGCAGGTTTGACCCCGCTGTGCTGAAGGGTTAAAGATTAACCAGCAGATCAGCCAGAGCCCTGACCTCGGGGCAGTAACRAGGGGCGTGAGGGAATGAGCCCCCGGCCCCGGCGGGGTGTGGGTGGAGTAGGGTGGGCACAGGGTGGGCGCAGTGGATGGGGACACAGCTGGGGGCTCACCTCGCTTCTGCATGAAGCTGAAGAGGTCATCCAGGAACTCCTTCCTCCTAGGGTCACCATCCAGCTCGTACAGCTGCGCAGCAAGGGGAGAGAGATGCTCAGAAACCCTCTCAACCCACGTGTCCCCCCACCTCCGAGACCCCCAGAACCCACTGCAGCAGCCCTGTGGCTGGAGGCCTTTACAGGACAAATGGCTCAGGGGTGTCTCTGCGCAGGGCTGGGGGATTTTTTGGGGTTCCTGCAGCTTGGGCTGACCCGTGCCTGTGCCCCGGTCAGAGCTCAGCTCCGGGATGCCGGTGCTGGAGCAGCTCCCAGGCTGCCAACACTGTGCCCAACCCGGGCTCCTCCCGGGAACGCTGATCCCGGTTATTTTTAGCACCCACTGCCTGCTCAGCACAGAAACGCTTCAGCACGGTCCCTCCTCCGTGCCTGGGGTGCCACAGAGAGCCAGGGCCAGGAGCCAGCGGTGGCATCCCGTGCCTGGTGTGCCTTGGCACGAGCTCGTGCGCTGTGGCACTGCAGGGACATGTCCTGCACCAGGGCAGGCAGAGCTGGGCCAGGCTCTGACACGCTGCAGCTCAAAACACGGCTCTGCTGGGGCATCTCCAGCCGGGACCCCCCACCCCGGCACATTCCTGCCTGATTTATGGGATTTATGGCGCGGGATCTGCCAGAGGCACACACCGCACCACGCCACGCCGCCTCTCCCAAAGGCCAGCGCTGTTTCTGCCAGGAGGACGGTGGATAATCCCCCTCCCATCCYGGGAAGGGCGGTGCAGCAGGGGCTGTGAACAACTGAACAACTGCCAGTGGGGCCGGGAGGGGCCTATAAATACCCCCCATAATACTCCAGGCACGCACTGCGGGGCCACCGCTGCTGGTCAGTGGGTCACCGATGTGTCCACTCACTCCTGTGGCACCAGGAGCGTGGGCAGGTGGATGGGTGGGCATCATCCCGGCTGTGAGCAAGGGAGGAACGTGAGCCCCCTCCTCCTGCAGCCCCCGGGAGGATCCGGATCCCGCAGGGCCGGACTCGCCTGCCGGCGCCGATCARAGGGATCAATGGGGCCGCTTGATAAGCGGGGCCATAAATCCCCCCAGTTCCCCTGGGAAACTCGGCAGACTCCACCAGCCCGCAGCACACCCCCAGGGCAAGGGCAGGAGCCTCCGGCACCGCCGGCTGAGCCCCCTCAAAGCCCCTCTGCCACCCCAGCAAGGGGWCGGGTGWGGRACTGTGGTGYGGGGGGATCGAGCCAMGGCACGGCAGCACCGCYGTGGTTTTTGGGGCTGAGCTGTGCYGGCTGCTTGTGCCGGGTGATGGATGTTGGGCTGGCGCCAATCCAGCCTCCCCCGTTTCCGTGAGCGGCTCCAAAAGCCACACAGAGCAGAGAAAGGGCTTCCCCAGCGCCCGATCCTGCGGGGTGCGGAGCCATCCTGGGCTGGGGCCAAAGGCAGCGCTGGTTCATCCGCTGCCACGACCCTCGGGGCTGCCAGCCTGGCTGGGCTCAGTCCCGAGGGGAACGGACRCGTTTAAGAGGATGAAAGAAAATTAACCGTCAGCTGAGGAGAGCGTGGCCAGCCGGGACAGGGGGATTAGCGGCCGCAGCGGGCGGCTGCCCCGTGYGCCGTCCTCCCACCAGCGCCGGTGGTCCCGTGCCAAGCTCAGCTGGCTGCGGCCACTCTCACCCCTGCCCAGCTGGGATGAAGCCATGGGGGTCCCCAGGGATGGCAGGCAGAGGGATCCCCGTTCCTGCCCGGTGACCTCGCAGCCCTGCCGGCACCTCTGCCACAGCTGCCGGGCAAAGGACGTTGCACAAACCGCTGCTGGCGGTTACTGGTGAGACTTCGACAGCTTCGCTGCACTCRGCAGCTGCTCATTGACCACTGCAGCGCCAGAACACAGAAAGAGGCTCCCCTTGGGACCCTCCAAAACCTGGTTTAGCAGCGCTGCCAGCAGAACCAACTGCCAGCAATGAGCACCTGCTTGTCCGGCAGCGCTGTGAGGTGAGGACGTGCCCAGCCATGGCCAGGACATGCCTGGTGTGCACCGTGGTGTGTGACAGAGTGGCATCTGCCGAGCTGGCCCTGTCCTCCCTAACCACCCCTGCTCCCCCTCGCCCCCAGGCACAGGCAGGACACGGAAGGGGACAGAGAYGAGTGACTCCCCTCGCAGGATTTCCTTGCATTGACGCCATCCACAGCCAACGGCAAAGCAGCCCGGCACCCCGTGAGCCCTAACGGCGGCGCAGGACAGCTGTGACAGCGGGGCTCAAAATGCAAATTGAGGAACAGAAACGTTCCGGTTTCGGCAGCGCGCAAAACCCAGCGCGCAGCTGAGCTTGGCAAGGCCCGGCAGCTGCTGGCACCGCTGCCCCGAAATCAGCAGGTGCTGAGCTTTGTGCTGATCCCCGCCCGGTGCTTTCCTGCTCTCGACCCTGGTTTCTGCTCAGCTCAAAGCCGGTTCCTTGCAGGGACACGCGGCGCCTCGCTGCTCGGTGCAAAGGTGCCGCGGGCATGGCCGCCCTGGGCCGCTGAGTCAATACATTTATGTTTCGTAATTAGGGAGGTGGAAACGGCTTAATCCATAACGCAGCTGCCCCAGCAACAATATCCTCTTACTGTGGGGTCCCCAGTGCCAGGGGATGCTGTGGCATGGCCACCCCAGCCTGGCTGAGGGGGTGCTGGAGATGCCCCCCACCTCTCTGAGAGTCCCATGAGCTAGAGGYGATCTGAATCCAYGMAYCCAGTGCTCCCAGTGCTCCCCACCCCAGGGTGAACGCTCGATACCAGTGGCACAGTTGGCTCTGGCCACAGTGTCCGGCCCACCTGGCCACAGCGCAGCCCCCTCGGCCCCGGCCCCCGGCCGGCTGAGGACACGGAGCCAGATGGCCGTTGCCAGCAGATCTATAATTAAGTGGAGGAGGAATTAGGCAGGCGGTGGGCGGGTGGCCCTGACCCCAGCCCAGCGCCCCGGCAGGATGCCGGCCCGGCGTTTGGTGTGGATGACCGGATTAATGTTTCAAACCAGATTACAGGAAAATCCCAACCCGCTGGCTTTCAAAGGGCGGGCGGGAGGCGGCCCCTTGGCAATGCCAGGAATGCGGGAGAGCCCTCGGCACGGGTGCGGTTCGTGCCGGGGGTCCCACCTCCCCCCAGCTGGGGCGAGGGGGACAATTACAGGCAGGAGGGGAAGCTTCCATTTCACAAGGCTCCGGGAATGCTGGGGGTCACGCTGCTGCCAGGCCAATCTCCCCTTCGGCAGGAATCCCTTGTCCTCCCCACGGAGTCCGTGTCCCCGCATCCCGCGTCCGAGTTAAAAAAAAACCTCCCCTTCCCCCCCTCCCGCTCGGTTCTGGGTTTTCAGGCCTCGGGGATTAATTTTCAAGTTTCTTTTCCATGGCCAGGAAGTGGCAACACTCTCGGTTTTCCTCCTTCTCTCCAAAACCGGTTTGGGACGTGCACACCGTGACGTGAGCCGGGAGGGGGGACAGACCGAGCCACGGGCCACTGCAGCAGGGATGGGGGGTGGTGGCAACCTCCACCTTCCAGGGGCTAAACTCCCCCAAATTCCTGTGTTTAAGGAAAAAACACAACGCAGGCAGCGGCGGGGAGAATCGTGGCAGGTAGCAGGACTGGGGGGTGACAGGCTGAGGGCTACTTCTCTCTTTTTCTTTCTTTCCTTCCTTCCTCTGGCAGCCCCCGGGGACGCATCCCTTTGTCCCGCGGACAGCCGAGGGGCCACGCCGGGCTGGGGAAGAGCCCGCTCGCTCGCACTAACGAGTTCTYTAACGAAGAATAAACACATTTATGGCGCATTTCCCGTTCCACTCCCGGCCCATGCGCAGCCCCCGGCCTCTGGCACGCCGGGACCCGCAGCGGGGTCGGAGAGGGCACTTATTCAGAAAAAGAAAGTAATTTGTAAAAACCAGAACGAAGGATCGGCGAGGGCCCCCGGGGCCCGCCTCGGAGGCGCTGGGGACGTGATTTCCCATAAAACGATGGCTGACTCAGGGCTAAGGGTGCCCGAGRCCGCACCCCTCTCCAGGAACAGCCCCCCACCAGCGTGGGGTGCAGGGTTTCATGGGGTCAATCCCTCCCGGTGAAGGGCAAAGGGAGCGTCCAGCCCCGGAGCAGATTCCTACGCAGATAAAGCGCTTGACTTAGGTACAGGTCACCCCTGGCTGTCCCCCAACCCTAATCCCCTGCGAGCCCCCCGTGGGAAGGGGCTGCAGGGGGCAGGGACGTGCGTGCCCCCTCCCCAAAATCCCCCCAACACCTTGCTGGTGGGGGATGTGCTGGCGGAGCCTCGCCCATACGGCCAGGGCCGGCGGTGACTCCACTGACCGGCCCGGCGGGATTCCTGCCGCCRGAGCATGGCTGGGCTGGGCTGGGGGGCCGCTTCCGCGGGGGCAGCTGGGGAGGGGGCCCAGGAGCTTCCCGTCGGCGCCATTGTTCACGCCRGTTCCCAGAATTGTCCCCTCCAGGGGGGGACACGGCCCCACTACAGGTGCCGCTTTGCACCAGCGCCTCCTCGCCGGGCTGGGGAACGTGGTGGGCGAAGGATCCATCGGTGCTCCCGTGGCTTGGTGACAAACCCATCGGGAAGCCTGGGGGCCCCCGAGACCACCCGGGCATCACCCGGTGCCCACCTCCTTCCTCCCCGCACAGATCGGGGCGAGGAGCCACGCCAGTGACCCCGGGGGTACGCGGGCGGTGTGGCGGCACGGCAGCGGGTGTCACGGCACGGCGGGTGTCCCCGAGCGGCGGAGGGGACGCTGAATGGGCGAATTAGTCACCGTTTAACCTCGCTGACCCCCCATTGTCCCTGCGCTGTCGGCCGCCCTCCCCGGCACGGCACAGCACGGGCCGCCGTGCCCAGCCAGCCGGCAGCTCCCAGGATCCGTGTCCCCGCGGCTGGCCCGAGTGTCACCAGCTCCCGGGATGGCCGTGCCGCTGCTGTTTGCTCCCTTCCCGCCGAGGAGGAGGAGGAGGAAGCGATTCCCGCTGCCGTGGCGTTCCCAATGGCAGTTTGCTGCCGAGTGGCAGCGCGCCAGGCTCCGGCTGGAATCAAAA